GCGTACAAGGCGTACTAACGTCAAGTCGTGAGCTCATCAACCGGCACAAAAGTTAGAATCGGTTTTGTCGAAAATTTCTAGAACATTTATTATTAGATCTAATCATCGATCGATGGTACTTCATCTCACATATACATTAAGTTCCACACGGGGACACTAGTTATCCTTCTTCGCCTCACTGGCGAGCTTCTCCATCTGCTCCTTTCTCTTCTTCAAAACCTGCTGGATTTCGTCCATCGTCTCCTTGAGGACATTCTCAGCCTCCTTGCCCTTCTTCTCTTGCAGCGTGCGAAGCGACTGTAACTGGCCCAGAACATTCGATCCTCCAGGAACCATATCCGCCCACTTGCTCAAATCAAAAGACCCACTTTGCTGTGCCTGATCGACCTTCTCCTTGACATACTTCTCCACCTGCTCCGTCTTGCCTGACGACGCAGCCTCCTTCACCATACCCCACAACTCACTAACATTACCCTTCTTCAATGCATCCGCATTATTCTCCACCAACTCCTTGACCTTCGGATTCTTATCCAAGTACTGCTTACTCTCCTCCAACCCCTTCTGCCACATTTCATCCCCAAGCTTCTGCAACTTCTCCGACTTCTCCTGAATAAGCTTCCTTACCTCCTCCACCGACGCAAGACTGAATCCCTTCTTGGCCACTCCGGCAAGTTGCTCCCTCGTCTTATCCACCTCTTCCTTTGCCTGCGGTCCATACGCTTCTCCCATCTCCTTCAACTGTTTCCATCCACCACCAACCTTCTCCTGCAACCACGGGTGGTTATCAAGAATGTCTCCGGCAGCATCGCCAGACAACTCCATCAACCGCGTCAGACTCTTCTGCAGCACCTGCAATGCCTGAATAGCGGTATCCGCATTCGAACCGCCCTTGTTTCCCAGCGACTTCAGCTCCTTATACGCATCCCGCACGATGCTATCCACCTCAGGCCCATGCCGTTGCTTCACCTTCTCCAGATCATCGAACGCAGTATCAATGTGCTGGCTCACGCCGGGGAGAAACACCGCATAGCTCTTCAGCGTATCGCGCAGCCAGTTCAGCGCCTTGTCCGGCTCTGGAGCGTTGTTGATGATACCTTGCTTTACTTGATCGGCATAGACCTGTGTCTGTTTCATGGTCTTGACGGCTTTGCGGGCTCCCGAAAAGTGGTACCATGTGTAGCCGGTGACGATGGCGACGAGACCGCCGCTGAGACCGCCGACCAGGGCGGGATTGCTGCTGCCGGTGCCGGTGGAGCCGGAGGAAGAGGACGAAGACGAGGACGAAGATTGGAATCGAGCGTTACGGTAGCGACCGGCTGATTGGCGGAGGCGTTGCTGTCGCAGACAGCGGGTAGCGACTCTGGGGGATCTGTTCATCATGATTGTGGTGATGTAGGTGTTGCAAGGGAGGATTGAGAGGTTCAAAGGCAATGAGTAGTTATATGTGATGAGTAAATTGGGAGAACACAATTGAGGATATAATTGAAGGAAGTTATATAGTCAGGAATAAAGTAAACGGAGTGGTTGAATCACCCCCCGTCAACATGACGCACGCCAAGCATTACACAAACTAGTCCATAAGTAGCAATCAACTAACCACATACAGCTAGTGAGATCTATCTTATCTCGCATCCGAGCCCCATCCTACTTGGTTGATTACGTTCATCACATTACTACATCATAGCCTATCCCCAAAGACCTGAATAACGTCATCACAACAGCCAATCCCATCAAGATTTGCATTGGAATTAAGAATTGGCAGCTTGTAACTTGGCACACGTCTTACAGCACGCGATCTCCTCATTATGCCCTGAATCTGGCTGCTCCGCATACGGGACCCGCTTAAGCGATTTCGTCCTTAATCCGTTCTCCCCCGTAGTATTCATAAAATGCAATATTCCCGAATATGTTGTGGACTTCGTTATTACAAACATTCAATCAGACATCTCGTCGCCAATGCAGTAGCGTCTGTTAGAAGATCTTAGGATTCCAAACCCTCCTCTGTCAGGGCCTTGCGCTAATACCAACGAAATGTCTGTGAGCCCGTAGGTGGATGCGAGTTCATCAGGCCCTTGTAGGTGAAAAGTGTTATCTGTCCATTCAGCTGGGATTGCTCGGTTTCCTTGGAGGGATTATGAGGTGGGATGTTAGTTGGTGGGGTGAACTGGGGATTATTTGGGGTTTGGTTGGCATGGTAAGAAGGAAGAAGTGAATCTACTGAAGCAAGTATATCCCAGCGGCGCTCGGGTATTTCGTGATGTGTCACTGAAGAGTCATATTGACCCCATGAGACGTGCGAGGAGATAACTGCACTCCAGGGACAGCATTATTGACTAACAGGTTCATTGATACTTTACTCTAATTAAAGTTTTTCAAGCGGTAATGATGGGTGATTTTGATTGATTATTGTCTAGCACTGGTAAGTAGGAACACCAAGCCCTTCCCCCCCACTCCCCGACCCTCCCAAAATAACTTATATGTTTCAGTCACTTTATCATCTTGAGGCAGTTCGTACTCCAGCGCATTAGCCAACTCGGAGGCACTGGTCTTGAGAGCTATGGGTACGGCTAACGAACCTCATTCTGGTCTGTCGGACTTGGAAGGGGCGTTATGGCGTGTATGGAACAAATACTTCTTCTTCTTCCCCTTCTGGAACGTCCAGCACCAGTACATCGTCCTCCGGTATCCCGAGAGGCTTCAGCTTCTTCATCCCCACCTTTTCCATTCCGTTCTCCGCCATTACGCGTAGAATGCCTGGCCATGTCGTGGGCCTGCTTATTTCGAAGATGTCGCACTGCCTGGCCTGTATAAATCGGCTTGATGCCTAAGGCATCATTCGTAGCCCATGTAGTCACGTGTCGTCAGCGGACCACGGAACCTTTCGACATTGCTTACTATCTAGCTCATGAGCTGTTCCATAGCTTAAGTCAATATACAGCGCAACTCGATCGCTGCAAATTGAATGCAGAAGATAAGCGCGCTGGGTTGACGGTTTTGCCTATCCCATAGGGGGCTGTGGAGCCTGAACTCAACTATCTGTCATGTCGACAATTTCCAAGCGTAAGCGTGCGAGGAAGGCCTGCAATCCATGCCACCAGCGGAAGCGGAGATGTGACAACCAATATCCCTGCGGCATGTGCACCACATACAACTATAGCTGCAGATATGATGACGACGCGACGGGTACTGTGGGTGATAGCGTGGATGACCCGCCCCAAGCTAAGCGTATCAGCGTTGATGGAAGAAGTCGTTTGGCCAACCGGCCTCGCGTAGAGCAAGGGCACCGCGAAGCCAAGGCCAATAGCTCGTCGACGAAGAGTCCCGCCACCGTAACCAGCACACCACCTGGACTCTTCGACGAACAGAAGTTCAGATATACGGGAGCATCGGCGGCTATGGCTTTTCCACATGTTTTGGGTGTTAATCTCGGTGGTGACAGTCCTCCGAGATTGCGGTCATGCGCCTACAACTTTGGTAACCGACCAGACGAGGCTTCAAACCCTCATAGCTTTCTCGGGGATCTGATCTCCGAGCAGGACCTCAGCCACTATGCGGGTGTGTATTTCACCGTCATGAACCCGATCGGCGACATCCTGGACCCCAGAATATTTGCCGATCGGTGTCATCAGTACTACGATGGCGGTTATAGTACAGATATTACATTCGCTGCTGTGGCTGCTGGCGTAGCCTGCCTCGGGTCCTTTCTCTCCTCCGATAGACATCCACGGGAGACTGACCTGGTGCTGTACGCCAAAGCAATTCTCGATGATCCAGCGTCCATGCGCACGCTAAACATTGATCACATCATCGCATGGGACATGCGTGCCTTCTATCTTCGCGCGACAAGTCGCCCCAAGATTGCCTGGATTGCCTCCTGCACTGTCATGCACCTGTGTGAAACAGTGGGGTTGCACGACGAAGCGAGTATCAAGAAGATAGCTTCCAAGGCTGGCGCTGCTGCCCTTGGGCTTGATGCTGACCGCCTCCGAAGAATATTCTGGGCCTCGTGGGCTGCACACAATATGCTGTCGTATGAGCAAGACTGTTCTGCTGTACACTTTCGCTCTGTGACATGTCAGTCTTTCGTCCCAACACCGGGGTCTGTTGCCGACCAGTTCGTCCGATTAGTCCAATGTACCCCTGCACCAAACTCCCCCTTTCGTCTCGACTCGGAGCCCGCGGACCTGAATGAGGAACTATTTGAACGTCTAAAAGCAGTGACTGAACTCAAAGTAACCCATCCATTCCTAGTGGTGACCGCGGCAGACATCGCCTTTTGCTTTTATCGCCGCTTGTACCAGGCCCAGGCGTTGCCATCGGACGAATTCATCAGTCTCGTCATCGATTGTGGCAATGCAGGATTGAAGGCGGCCGAGCAGCTCGCTAACGAAGGTCATCTATTCTGGAATGTCCTCGGCAGCGTCTTCCAATATGCTTGCGTTCTGTTGGCAATTGACAGTCCGATCGCCTCCGCTCATCTCGGCACTGTCTTCAAGCGGTTAGAGAACTTAGTCAAGGCGGCCGATACAACACTGACGCGCGAGGCATTGTCAATAGCACGACATCTACTCAGCCTCAAAACGGCTAAGAAGCGCAAGGAGCTGGCTGAGCTGGAAGCGATTGAAGCAAGCTTTCAATCTGGTCTGACACCGCTAGAGCCAGAGGCCAACGCCTCTATGCCTGACATAAGCTGGGAGCTGTACTGGGATCAGTTCTTTCTCGAGCCGTATCTGCCGATGTTCAGTGGTGAGATACAGCTATAGTGGGATTTACTATGCGGACTGTAGATATGTATTCCAGAGAGTAGTTATGCTGCAAAAGATACCATACTGCTTACTGGGAACTTCGATGTTTAGAATTGTAGAAGATGCAACCACGTGAGCGGCATTGGTGCGGCTATTGCGGCGATACTTTTGCTAGTGCGGAGTTAATTGACTATCTCCGCATCGCCGCTTTTGTTGGCGTGCGGCGGCGGCGGCGGAGATGAGCGGGAATCTCACCTCATCATCACCTTACGCTCCTTCAGTGGGTGAAAGCCGCCCAATTACAATCGGCGATGGTGGTAATCCCCTAAGTCCGACCGTGTCGGGGCTAGGACTTCCGAGATTCGAAATCTGATGCAGTCTGGTTTGGGTCCAAAGTCATAGAAGTAGAAGGATTGACACTTGGGCTCCAATACATAAATAGACGCTCGCCCTCACTTCAGGTCAAGCATCCACACAAGCTCAATCACTACACTCAAACACAACAGTGTTCCCACTACACCCCTCAAAGAAACTCAACCTCAAGCCCAAAAAAGCAAACAAAATGGCCAAATACGCAAAAGACCAACCCGCCGGCTTCGATAACGCCATCGAGCGCGTCGCCATCATCGGAGTAAGTCACTCTGCCTATCACAAACGCCATACACAGCACTACTAACACACACCTCCAGGCTGGAGGCACCGTGGGATTCCACATCGCCACCGAGCTCCTTAAAACCGGCAGACACACAGTTACAGCCCTGACCCGGGCCGACAGCACCAACAAACTCCCTGAGGGGGTCCAGATCGCCCACATCAACTACAATGATGAAGCAAGCATTGTCTCCGCCCTGAAGGGCCAGCAATTCCTCATCATCACCATGTCCCCCACAGCGCCCCCGGACACCCACAGCAAGATCGTCCAGGCAGCCGCCAAGGCCGGTATTCCCTACGTCATGCCGAATGGGTACGGCGGGGACATCGACAAGGTCAAGCTGGGCGAGGAGACCTTCCTAGGCCCTGTCTCCAAAGCCAACCGAGACCAGATCGCCCAGCTCGGTATGCAGTGGATTACTGTGTGCTGTGGATTCTGGTACGACTATAGCTTGGCAGGCGGAGAAGTGCGCTTCGGGTTCGACTTTGACAAGCGGACTGTGACTTTCTACGATGATGGCACTACTAAGAACACGACGTCGACGTTGGCGCAGGTTGGGCGGGCCGTGGCGAAAGTGCTCAGTCTTAAGGAGCTTCCTGAGGATGAGAATGATCAGAGTCTTACGTTGTCGTCGTTCCTGAATAAGCCGTTCTACATCAAGAGCTTCGATGTCAACCAGAAGGATATGTTTGAGAGTGTCAAACGTGTTACTGGGACTACGGATGCTAATTGGACGATTAATCGTGAGAGTACTAAGAAGCGGTATGAGGAGGGATTGGCTCTGGTTAAGGGTGGTAACATGGCTGGATTTGCTAAGTTGCTGTACGCAAGAGCGTTTTACCCGGAAGATCCGAGTGATCACTTGGACAAGGTGCAGAACAAGCTGCTTGGATTGCCGGAGGAGAGCTTGGATGATGCTACCAAGGATGCTATCGATCTGGTCAAGAAGCTGCAGGCTCGTGCTGAGCGTATGGCGTCCTAAAGGAAGAGTCTACGGATTCGATGTTTGCGATGTGGAAGTGAGCGGTTCTCAATTCTTGATATTACAGTAATAGTTTGATTATCGACTTGTTTTCTTAGCATACTTCCTTCACAATGACCATAATAACCCTGCTCTCATCCGTAGCACAACTAGCACTTTCGTCTCCAATGAATTCCCCCTAACCCCAATTCCTTCCCCTGGTTGATACGACCTCGCTCAGGTTTCGTCGACTTCTTGGAATTCTTAGTACCCTATCACCCCAGTTCGTGATTAGAATTGTACATAACACTACATGTTGTGGAGGACAGGGTTCCTCATCTTCTCGGCCATATTTAATCAAGCGCGGTCGACAAAAGTTTGCCCGTCCAGTCCTGACATCCAAGTCACCAAGACACTTTACCTTGAACTTTTGGGCGTGAGAATCAACAGCGGCCATCGTCGTCAGTCGCCCTCTTGCTAAATAGCACTCGCGTCGACGCAAAGGGCATGCGGAAATCCTCCCAAGTCCACCATCTCGGTGCCTCAGGGTCCGCCAATCGCAAGCTATAGTTGATCACAATATGCACAACGATGATTTTGATCATAAAAGCAGCATGGTGTCTTCCTGGGCTAAGTGGGACCGGTTAGTATAAGCCGTGACAAAAACATATTGATGGGTATTGAGCAAACCAAGCGAGAGATCCATAGCCCCAGATCAAATGATTCTCAGAGACGTCGGCAAATTTGTGCGATGTATCTTTGCATCGTCCGTTTATGAATCGCTTGCCGTCGAATTTCTCGGGGTCCGGGTAGATGTGCTCATTGCGTGTGGCATCGTACGAGGATACGCAAAGGACTGATCCGGCCGTAATAGAGAGGGGCGCGGACGAGAACGAATAATCGGTCAAGGCTTTGCGGCGGATCGCGACTACACCCAGAGTCCCGAAGGGAAGGAATTAGAGACACAAGTGCCTAGGACTCAGCTGGCAGGGCTGCACCTGTAAAATCTACTTACTTTTATCCAAGGAGTTCACTCGTGCAGTTTCCCGCATGAAACTATCCAAAAGTGGTAGCTCGTTGATCTTGCTTGCGAGGTCGTCTTGGCTCTGCAGGGTCTCGTCTCGGAGCGCATCCTGCCACTCGGGCCGCAGGCACAACTCAACCAAGATTGCGTGTAGGTTTACCCATGGCTGGTGCGAGGCTGCTAGCCAGAGGCCTAGGAGTGATTGAGAAAGTCTCTCTGCTGTCCAGTAGCTGCGGTCTGCCGTCGATAAGTCAACCATATGATAAAGGAGTGTCAACTGTGGACCACGATCATTAGTCGGGGTAGATCCCATGCTGCAGTAAAGTTCTAGAGTATTAGCCCAAACCTTCTTGATCTCTGGCTTTTCATCCAAATTGTCAATTACAGCAGTTATCACGTCAATCAGCCTGTCTTGGATCAGGTGCATTGCCGATCCACGCCAGGTGATAATTGCGTGGACGAGACTAGATATGTGAAGTAAGTTAGTAGAGTACCCGCATAGCAACTCTTGCCTCTAAACATACGGTGCAATAGATTTTGGAGTTAGCTGGAATGCAGCCGAACATGCTTTGATCTGGCGCGGGTGATTCAACAGGGCGTCTCGAAGACGCGGGTCAGACGCTGTAGTCAAGTTATTCGCGTTCAGAGTGGTGTTTTCGTCAAATAGTGATAAGTAGGGATAGAACTTACTCATATTTCCCCCGAAAAACCACGCGCCCATGAGACGTGAGAGGATCGTTTCGCTAAATAGAGCTAGACGAAAAGACGTAGTGCCTCCTGCCAAGTCAACTCAATGACTGATACAAGATAGCTTGGCAGGTATGCTAGTAACCGATTTCCAGCGAGCGAACGTACCAGAAGAGATTTCCGCATCCACAATGGTCTTCAGGTGATGAAGAAGATACGGGTATAGTTCCTCGAACTGGGTCGGACCTCGCACCTGAAGAACCCGGCTAAGAAGACGCGACTTTCTCGTGTTGACCTCGTTGTGGTCTGCGCCGTTCAACGTATGTTTGAATCCGAACAGCTGGGAAGGTTTAGAGGTTCGTGCCGTTATTCTAATTTGGCGGACTTACGTCTGAATAGACCGCTCGCTGAGATAAGACTGATGTCTCGCTGAGCTCGGTCATCATTCTTTTGGTTGCTGGGATCATGATCGGCTCCGGCGCCCAGGGACGGTAGTACCGATGGTCACGCTGCGGAGGTTAGAATATATTCATAACCCTATATCGCTTTGCTCGTGGCTGCATCACGTACGAAGTCACGGACTACATTCCGGATGTTGGTGATATGATTTTTCTGTTTGGTGACGTGTTAGTTCGCCGTACCAAGGTGGAGAGGCAGACCTGACCGTACCTCAATCACCGAGTAGTACAGCACATTTGCTATCAGGAGTGCGCAGGCCACAGCTAACAGCCAGGGGTAGAATGCATCTGCCATGGTGATGAGTGCGCCCATGTTTCCAACGGAAATCGTAGACATCATGCAGTTAAGGAGAGACGGAAGGAAGCAGTATGTGCGCACGAAGTTGAACTTGTTCCAGAGATCTGGCAAGCCCATTCACCTTTATTCGAATGCAAACACTGGGTGTGAGCTGATAGTTGTTTGCTTGAAATCAAGAGAGGCAACTGTTTTTCAATCAAGTGGACCAAATTAAGCAAACAAGCTTTGGAAGGAATGTTCGGGCTTTTATCAAAAGTACATTGGAGTCATTTGGATCCAGATGATTATAGCCCCTATAAAGACTCTAGTAAAGGCCTCCCAGCAGGAGCACTTCCAGGGTTACTACCACAAGGCCCACTGCTCCGTACATCTATGGGCAATACTTTTCCCTAGAGACTAACTTCTTGGTCTATATGGCATGATAATACTAATGTTACATCAAGCGCACTATGCATTCTGCACGGTACTCTATGCCACTGAAACAGCATTTACCAATAGTATCCCACGGAGGTTCATTCGTAACATAGCTTGATTTGAGCATACATAAGTTGAGACGACAATACATTTTGATCGAAAAGAGAGATTAATTTGTCTGTTGTTGAGCAGTTATGTGAAGCCCAGACTTAGGCCCTCCTCCGGCTTCTTTCCGACACTAATCATAGGGAGGAATGTAGATGAGAATTGCCGGAGCTTTCTAGGCTTTAGCTTAAATACTGAACTAGAGGCCTCGATTCTTGTATATTCATGAAACTTACCTTAGCCACTGCCACGGCGTAAGAGAATATCAATTTGGTAGATGACTCTTCTACCATGGTCACTGCATGTAATTATACCTGAGTTAATTTGGTGCGAAGAGCCCATATAACAGCCCATCCAGGCACAAAACATATCACAAGATATATACAATGACCTACATGGGGTTAATCCTCGTTCTACAAGAGGGCCAGCGGCACCTACTAGTTCATTGTGCTCAAAGTCTACGCAGATACGTGAGTGAGACCGTGGAAACCATACCACGCCTGAAAAATAATACCGTTTTCATGCAGACATGACCTTCAACGCTCGCCAGCATTCAATGGGGTTTGGCTCTTGTTTAAAGGCTGAACTGCAGTGGGTTTAGACGGTAAGAACCACGTACGTAAGGTGGCGTTTCCTCGATAAGGCTGACTCACCCACTAATAGTAAATTTTGTTCAGAGTAGATATTGCCATGATCAACCCACTCCTTAACTGACCCGTATACTCAAATCCGATTAGAAGCCGGAACTACGAACGGCGCCACACTGCCCAACTTCTCACACGTTTCATCATATTCGCGTTCCGGTTTGGAATTGATGGTCACACCAGCCCCAGCCTGTAACCACTGGCGACTCTCATCCTGGAAAACCGTGCGAAGAACTAAAGTAGCATCAAACAGTTTTGATCATTCATCCAGCATAAGCACTGCTCCGCAATAAAGGTCTCTCGGGTCTGACTCGAAGGAATTCATTGCATCGGAGTTGCCGTCTCCTGGTAGCCCAGGCACAGTAATATTGGCTATGAGACCCGGCAGAGCATCCCGACCATCGCATCCAGGCTTCAGGTTTCCGCACACATGGGAATAAAGATGCTGTACGCTTCCTCTTGGCATGACCTTCATGAAATCTTTGATCGCAATCGATTCCAGTTCGCACAGTTTACTCAACCGACGGATGGAGCCCTTGATAGCAATGACATGCTCGGCGACCTCTTTGATATCATCGTGAAGCTTGTTGTTGAAAGGATCGAGGCTGGCTTTGGCTAAATGAGACAGTTGGGTTCCAGCAAGCGCTTCTGTATAGGCCTTGTCGCCGTTGATGGAGAGAAGGACTTCGGGGCTGAATCCGGTAGCTTGGATGCCGTTGTGGTTGAACGAGAATGTGCGCGCGGGATTGTTGGCCCGTCGACCGTGAAGGAGGGTTGCTAGCATATTGACCCGAAAGTCTATGGGGACTTTCCTGGATGGAATTGCCTTGGTGTATTTAGCTTCGGAGTTATCCGCGATCGCATTAGCTACGCGCGTCTGATATGTTTGTGCGTCCACGTTCAGGTTTATTTTGCCTTCGACAGGAGACGACAGGGCAATATCTTCGGCCAGCTCGGCTTCCAGTACACTTTCGATCTTCTCGCTTACTTGGAGTATATCCTCATCATCATCTCCCGTGATAGTGACCTTATTCCGCTCAATAATAACCCCCACGCTAGGAACGATGATGTTTAACATTGGCCATTGACCCGATTCGAAAGCTTGGCCTGAACATCGGGCTGAATAGTTGGATCCCACTTGACCGAATATTTTCCCATGACTGGAATACTCGGAGACAAACTCTCTGGTCAGGTCCGTGGTTGAGCCGGTGATAGCCGTAGATTCCGATTGGCCGTCACTACCTGTCATGGTAGCTGTTTGGCCTTGTGCATCGAATGTCAGAGATGCATAAATGCCAAGCCCAATGTACCATATTTCATTGTTTTCGAATATATAATAGCTTCCTTTCGAGTAGTGAGCCACTAGTGCGACCGTGGTCTCCAGCGGCCGTGTGGCTCTAGCAAGGGTGATCTGTTTCTGGGTGCGCGTCATGCTTGTATGGTCTGTACGGGAAGGATCTGCAAGTGCTTGATGATAAGATAGGTCAAGGTTGAGGCATAGGTATACTACTCTGGGCGACAAAAAATATGCTTTTCAGAGTTTAGGGTGAGAACAACGCAGACTGCCTCTGGGTCTAGAATACCAGCGTATATTTATATACCTTGGCGTAAGTTAACTCCACAAGCTTACAATAGAAGCATCATGATCTTTGTTCAGCCTAATCGTTACGCAATTGACTTTGTTCTAGATGTAAGCGGTAACTGGGTGGTGATGCGGATACCCATCCAACGATTAAACGGATGGTTTGTGGTTAGCGACTCCGCAGAATTTATACTCAACCGAGTATAGTGAGCTCTTAGGGTGTTCCCCTCACTCTGCCTCATTCTCGCACACTGAGTGAAGGTCTTTTATCTAGTTGTCTAAAAACCTTATGATGACCTCTTAAGACGATCCACCGAATGCATGCTTCATCCGGTTTTGCAGTCTTGATCTTCTCCTTTAGATCGGGTATCGGTTCGTCTTCGTCGACTTTGAGACCTTCTTTTCACCCGGGCCAACGCGGCGTACACACCAATGATCAATAGAACCTCTACCACATCCCCAACTGACAGCGACTTCAGAGCATCCTCAATTATTTCCGGCTTATTGTCATAGGTGCTCAACTGTTCTTCGGTCATGCGGAGAATTACCCTATCTCGATCACTCCATGGCCCCTGACCTCTCATCACATCCTCAATACAGCATCCGATGGCGTCAAACTTCTCTTGAGGAAAGCCAAAGACCTCGGCCACGGGCTTATTGACGTCGATCTCATACTTCGCCTGGAGAATAGTACCGACGCGTAACACTATCAATTGCCACTCATGCACTGGAATACTGCGCTGGTTTCTGTCAAAACAAGCACCAAGTAGACCGCTGATATGAGGGAATAAACCGTGTGAGTGAGCTAACGTTAGGAGAATATTGCGTCGAAAGGGCAGCACTTTGAGTCTTTCTTGGATATTTGGAGGTGCCGTGTCAGGGTCCACGTAGGGGACGAGGCATGTGTGTCGATAAGGATCGCCTTCCAGCTCATTTGGATTGATTTCAGACATCTTGCAATGCGGTCAGACAATTTTTCGATGCCTTGTAAAATATTGGCTAGGTAATTCCTAGTTAGATCCAGACGCTTCTCGGCGTTCAATCCCACAAGGATGGTGATAAATGATAATAGTAGCTCGGACCTGGATACCGCCGTCCGTGAAATTTTTTCAATTTCTTCAATTGGGACCGACTGTTAAAATTCAACGTTCTCTACATTGTAGTCTCTCACTATAAACCAGTACTCAGACAGTATCTCTTATACCCGCGTACCTCCACAATGTAGCCTTCCAGGAAACAAACCACAAGTCACATGATATGACGGAGGTGGCATATAACTTTACCTTTGCCAAGTTTTCCGAAGAAGGAACAGCACTGTATTCTATCCTTTTCCCCTAAATACAGTGGATAAACGTGTCCGTGCATAATCGAACCACGGCGCCACGTCTCTGTCTCGGTGAACTACCGGTTTTGCTGAACAGTTTTCAAGGCTGCGGCTCTGATGGCAAAGGATATCGGTCTTCACAGCTCTGGACATTTCTACGAACGAAGTTGCGTTACAGAATACTTGGTTTAGTCTTTCCTATCTGGGACATCCCCTGTTGTAGTATGGTACACGTTGGCCGACACAATGATTGGGCAAACGAGTAGACTTTTCCGACTAAGTATTCGTGACATGTATTAAGCTTGGAACATGCCAGTAGCTTCGTACCTTAGCTTGCTATGACCGCTCTCTATGACTTACCCTGTTACGTGGGTTCTTGGAGGAGTGTTCGTCGAGTGAATATACAATTAGACCCCAGTATTTCGCAGATCCCTCACAAACAATGGGGGGATCGAGGCTACCTTACCTCACAATGATCATATTCAAGTAACCATCGCCCTTGTAGTAGGAAGGCTTTTCGTAAGATGGATAGTATTTATACTATCGAGCCCGCACGAAAATGATCTATGTATAAGTCACCCAAGGCTCAAGCAGATCTTCGGAATTTTAGAATTCCAGCCTACATCGTTGCCGTTACATTATGCGCATCCCGAATGGTTCACAGGTTCAGCATCTTAATGAAGTCAAAATCAAATGGCCGAAGCTCAATACAACAATCACGGTAAAAATTAATGATGCAAGCCCAACACTAGTTGGTTTACTTGAAACTGCCCTACCCTATCGCTCCCTCCAAACACATGCCGTTGTTGCTGGTGACCAGCTATATCACTTGATTCCGTCAGAACAGCTGATTGTGAGTGGCTTATGTCATAAAGAGAGTCATCTTACTAACTGCTCAAAGTATACACCTGCCGACAAGAAGGCTCCTGATAGGGCGAAAGAGCCTGACGGCTCGGTATTTCTTTCGTCATTCCAGCATTTTGTGATCAAGTATGGTGAGGTAACCGAGCACCAGCCGGTGGCTACTTGTGGGAAGGTTATTGATGAAGATATGGATAAATTGCGCTGGGTTGCGGATGAAGTTTGGAAATGTCAGTGTGAGACAAGAAAGCACCCTATTGAGGTAGTTCTATGGGATGCTTCAAAGCCGGAGCCTGATCCCAATAAGCTGGACCTTTTCAGACATCAGAGGGCTGGTGTGAGTAAGGAGGTAAGGAAGCTCGTCGATGAGATTCATACCGAGGTATGTACCTGATGGTTTTGATTGGTGACAACTGGCTAAAGAAAATGACACAGACGCAAAAGTGTTGGTCGGATATATCCGAGGACATTGAAAAAAATCACTGTGGTAAGGCACCAGAAAGGCCTGGGTCAAAGGAGTCATACTTTGGTGCCATGGTGTTTTCTAACAGTGTGATACGAACACTTGGATATCATGTTCTCGACAACATCATAAAACTGGCGTTTACGCGTCCTGAATTTACCTTGAGGCATCTGATTGTGCTTTTCCGGGATTTCGTTCCATCAATTGCCGATTTTGTTGGCCATCTAGGAGCAGCATACGTCAATGACAGTTACGAGAGCATTGAAAAGCTCATCAAAGAGAAGGTTGAGAAAAACCCCAATCAGGAGGAGGCACGTGAGGACTTCCTTGCAATGGTCAGCGCATTGAGCTTCTATGTTAATCTCCTCAACGCCCAAAATCTCCACATGTTTCCCTGGAGGCACGCGAAAGAATACCCAATTGATTCATAGGGAGCCATGGCTCTTCACACTATTTCGCTAAAGATCGCACTAACGGGTTCTACGGTTTGGTTGATTTTGATGTTTGTTCCCTATAAAACCTAATGCCCTTCTCTCACGTTATCCCCACAGCAGCGTATTATCAAATCCAATTTACCGTGATGCGGGATATGGCGGCAGAAGTAGCGAAATGGATATTAAGATCAGATAAATTTCAATACTTAGATTTTACTTTCGCTCGTTGAAACAAATTATCTTACATTGCCCACTGAGAACCCCAGTATACTTTGAAGGAGCCAAGATGTAATTTATCTCACACCGTTGGGTCATATCAATTCGTGACCCTTACGAGAGGTAAAAAGACTTTTTCATCATTGAAAGTCATCCAAGGTAGACAAAAGAAAAGCATTTTCAAATTTTCTGTCATATCCGCCTATATTGAATGATCTAGGTTCGTTGCATTCAGCGAATCTCGTGGACTGAAGCTAAACGGCGATATTTGGAGATTCGTCCATGACGTGTAAGCTTTACACCTCGAAATATTCGCCAAACCAAGGAAGATCTTGCTGAATGTTGGTTTGTTTAATACATGAGTACAATCCTGATTTAGACGAAACTCAATATCATTGAGTCTAGGTCAGTCGACTTGAAGTTTATCGCGATTGATACGAGCACGAAGCTTTTACCTGCGGTTGATCCAAGAAAGAACATGGTCCTGGATCAAGATAATAGCAGCATATTCTGTAACTAATACGCCTAATTTGAAGATTCCTCGGAAATCGTTTCCCATGTCTTTAGCTTCATTAGGAAAATAGATGCTTCAATCGGGGAGGACAGACCATCGTAAGCTCAAGTTAGATCTGCATATGAAGACATCCAACTCCCGGGCATATACCTGTTAACACTGTGTAGATGAGCTATACTACCATCTCAAATGGGGAATGGGGTCTAAGGGTCAAGTATCTTGACCTTATCGGAGGAAGAGCATAGAGGTGAAGACCGCAACTTGATGAGTCATACTTACAAGCACCTTTCTCCTATATAGTCAAGCTTTCAGTGACGCAGGAGGCGTATTGGAATATTTTGTATCAGTATTGGATAAGTGTCGCCGTCACATAGAAAGTCTGTTTCCCCTTGCAGCCATCCTTTGCTCCCCTCGGCCCATTGTACTGTTGAACGGTAGCATTCGCCTCAGTTTTGCTCCACTAAAATTCTTGCCTGAGCTCATCAATTTTCCCTGTTCTATGCTTTGTTTAAGGCTGCGCGTCCGAACATGCGTTATTTACTATGGTAACGGTTCAAGTTTTCCAAATATGCCGGTTGGTGGCAACTCCAAGATAAAGCTCAGGCTTAGACAGATCGTCATATCAACATCGCCATCCTGGTATAGTGTTGTTTGTCTACAAATTAACTCAATATCCCTTGTAGAACTAGTGCATTGGATAACAAGCAGTTTTGGGGATCGTAGCACTTTCTAGCTGTCGGAACGATGCATATTATCTGGCGCGACACGGCAGAAGAAACCGACTATGAAGCCGCACGCCTCCGAGGGATATTCACAAAAGACATACCACCATATTACCCATTAGCTATCGTCCACGCCAGAACAACGAATGACGTAAAAAAGACCATCAATCTAGCGAAACAGAAAAATTGCCAGGTGGCAGTGCGTGCCGGAGGACATTCGCATCCTGTCTGGAGCCTTCATCCGAACTCTATCTTGCTTGACCTGGGCTACTGGAAGGAGCTGGACATCGACAATGAGACGAAGATTGTTCGAGCAACCCCTGCTGTAACGAGTGGGGAGATCAGTAAGTATTTGAATAAACGCGGCCTGTTCTTCACTGCTGCGCATCATCCGGATGTCGGTCTGGGTGGGTATATGCTACAGGGCGGTTCGGGATGGAATTATCGGGTAAGAACTCAACCTTATCGTATTTCCAATTTCCGCTAATGAATATAGAGGTTGGGCTGGGCCTGTGAAAGCCTTGAGGCAGTTGAAGTTGTGACTGCAAATGGCAAACTTATTCTTTGCAATCGTTTGCAGAACCAGGAACTCTACTGGGCGGCGAGGGGTGCAGGACCGGGTGGGTTACGCTTGTTACTAGTTGATATCGTGGGCTCATTTTCTTTCTAGCTTTTCCAGGCGTCGTGACAAATTTTTACCTACAAGCATCACCTTTCCACGCAGAAGGTGTTCGCTCCTCCGGATATGTCTACCCTAGCCACCGGTATCGCGAGATCTTCACCTGGGCGCAGTCGATGGTATCGAAAACGTCTCCCGATATCGATATACTGCTGAGGGCCATGCATTCGGAGTCAGATGACGATATATACTTGACAGTGCAGTTTTTTGCGATGGAGAAGACATGCTCCGACGCTGAACAGGCTCTTCATATAGTCGATGAAGAACGGCCTTCAGGTGCCATTAGCGAATGGTTCTGTGAGGAAGACAGTCTCAAGAGCCAATTTGCAGCGATCAAGAAAAGTAGCCCGCCTGGATATTATTACATCACCGATAATGTCTTATTAAATAACGACTGTGACGCTATAACTGTGCTTCAGGAAGCATTTTTGACGTTGCCACAAAGTAAGTCATGGGCTGCCTGGACGCCCAGGTATCCAAGCAGTGACCACGAGATAGCCGGTATGGCAAAGGGAATACAGGCAAACCATTATTTTGTGATTCATCTAATCTGCGAGGATGCTGTCAGTGCCAAGCAGTATAAGAAGCATCTGCAGGATATAATGGAGAGAATACGGCCAAGCATTGTCGGTCACTACTTGGGTGACTCAGATCTGAACGACGATCCGAAGTGGTACTGGGGTGAAGAAAACAGTAAACGTCTGATGAAAATTCGACACCACTGGGACCCGGATGGACTTTTTGCAGCCACGCATAATGATCTGACATAGGCTTGGAGTATACAGAAAGGCAACATTTGATTTCAGAACATGATGAAAAAAGAGGCATAAAAACATACAACAGAAGGGATTCGCTGGTGGTCACCCACCCAACTACTAACCTCCCGGCGTGTGGCTTAAGTACGGCTGAGCGGACGGGAAGCCCTGTTTTCCACACCCTATGGTCGTATGTACTAGATGAGTTAATGAAATGGTTTGTATAATGATGTTTCAGAGTTGTTTTTGCTCGTTGCTGTATCTTGCCTCTTGAGGGTTCATCTCCACAGGCGGGCACATGGGTAGGATTCCCGCATCGGCCACAACCTCCCCAGTATATGGGTGGTCTAGCACTTACCTTCAACTAATTCTTCATGTACATCTTAAATGGCTATTTTTACAACATCTTCTCTGATTTATATCAAACATGATCCTCCTGGTTGATCCATATTATAATACTCCGGTAATGTTGGCGCTGTAGGCATAGTACTTACTGTCTAAGTTGGGAGATAACTTATATATTACGTAGCTTCGAATGCCAAGTTATAGCCACACATGAATGCAAGTACGCCAACCAAGTATTCCGTATCAATGAATTTCTAGTATCAGTCTTTGAACCTCTGTTATAAGCTTGTTTATTAGCTTCTCTATTGTCTTGTCTTACCGGAAAATATGCAAGAGTGCGATCAACGGCACAACATAGTAAATAATTCCTGTCTTGTAATCTTCCCAGTCGCGGTTAAGTCATCAACATCAGCAGTACAGATTACACAATATTACGCTTTCACAACGGATGATTCTCACAATATCCAAAAATTTCATATTATACAACACAAGAACTAAGTTTCATATCGTACAGAAAGTGATTATATCCCCGACTTACTCACAATAAGCTCAGCCACCGCCCCCAATGTACCCGTAGACAAAAGCTCCAGAACCTGCACATTAGCCCTCGCCTCACGTGCAATCCAACTCCGAAGCTCAATAGCAACCAGTGAGTCAAGACCCAGTGCAGACACAGAAAGCGATGGCTCGATGTCCTCTAGGTTCAAGACCAGTACCTGTGCCAGCTTTGCCGCCAAAGCTTCGTAGCAGACTTGCACTTTCTCTTCCTTGGAGGTTGCATTGGTGAGTTGCACGTGGAGTGGTTGAGAAATTCCCTCGTCGGCTACATCTTCCTCACCTCCGTGGGCCTTGGGGGCTAGGAGCTCAAACTTGGCGTCTTGCGGCCAGAGGGGTTGTCGTGTCGAAGACGCTAACCCAGTAATTGCCTGATGGGAAAGGTCTCCGGTCAAAGCCGCAGCGAGCAGGGCCAACACTTCCGCCTCGGTCATGCCCTCCGTACCGATGGTGCGCAAGACCTCTGCTCGGCGCGCGGCGTCTACTGTGGCGAGGTAACCCGCGTCCCTTACCGCCGTGAGGGCAAGGCTTGTGCCGGGGAGACCTTGGCTGCGGCGCCACTCCATGAAGCCGTCTAGGAATACGTTGGCGGCGGCGTAGGCTGCTTGTCCTTTGTTACCGACTACACCGGAGACAGACGAGAGGGCAACGAAGAAGTCAAGGGGGTGGGGGGCGAGGGCGTGGTGGAGATTCCAGGCTCCCGAGACCTTGCTGTCCGTCACAGCCTGGAAATCCGCGAAGTGCATGTTCTCGAAGAGCATATCCTAGACAATGTCAATTGGATTTGAGAATTTCTGGTCAGAGGAGCCTTACCCGTAGAACCATTGCACCGTGAATAACGCCGCGAATTGGCGGAAGGTCTTCCAGGTCCTTTAGCATGGCGTCAAGGGACGTGCGATTGCTCACGTCGCAAGCCTTCACCACAATATTTGTGCCGCTGGGACGCAGGGCATTTATTAATGTCTGTACAGGGATGTCGACAATGCCGCGTCGGGACGCAAGCACGATATTGCGAGCTCCCTTTTGTGACAACCACCTCGCTATGCTTCGGCCGAGACCACCAGTACCCCCAATAACAACGTACGTGGCATCTGTTCTGAGGATATCATCGCGCGTCTTAGCGACCACAGCTCTGACCTGATCGCCTTCTCTCGGGACTACCACAGTTTTACCCATCGACTTTCCGGTCTGCAAAGCCCGGAACGCGCTTTCAATCTCAGCGATAGGGCAGACGGACAGAGGAAAGACGGGGTGGATGAAGCCCTTGGCCAGGAGCCAAGAAATCTTATCCAGCAACTGATGCATCAACCGAGGCTTGTAAGAAGCGACCTTAGTAAGATCGACTGAGTGGAACGAGAGGTTGTTCTCGAAAGGTAGCATGTCCAGGCGCGTGTTCTTCGTGATGTCCGCCTTGCCAATCTCAATGAATCTGCCAAACGGTGCGAGACACTCCCAGCTTTCGCGGAGAAGATCCCCAGCGAGGGAGTTGACTACTATATCGACCCCGCCGCATGTGAGCTCGCGAATGCTGCGGCCAAAGGACGCATCACGACTGTAGAAGATGTGGTCTGCACGGAGACCGTACTTTGAGATAAGGAGGTCCTTTTTCTCGGCGCTTCCAACGGTTGCGTAGATCTCAGCTGAGGCGATTTGGGCCAGCATAATGGCCGCCTGCCCGACACCACCGGCGGCGGCGTGAATAAGTACCTTCTCGCCGACTCCGTGTTGGAGGCGAGCAAGCTCATAAAGGGCATAGTAAGCAGTGCAGAAGACGACGGGTACGCTGGCGGCAATCTCGAATGAAAGGTTTTCGGGGATGGCAGTCGCGCTGGTTGCCTTGCAGCGGGCGAAGGTAGAGTATGCGCCAAGAGGTAGAGCCATAACTCGCTCGCCAATCGTCAAATTGGTAACCTTCCTGCCAACAGATGTGACGACGCCACTGCACTCAATACCAATGTAAGGTTGGGTGAGTTGTCCCATGGTGACGGCAACATCCTTGAAGTTGAGACCGGTTGCATGGACCTCGATTTCGATTTCATCGTCACCCAGGGCTTCGACATCATCGTCTGTAAAATAAAGGGTATCAAGAGCGCTGTGACTTCCTATTTCGAGCTTGAAGCGGCGGCCGGGTTGAACGAATGGTTGTGTTTCAAGAGTGAGATCGTCACTGGTCTCCTTCCTCACGAAGGCATCAAGAGCGTTATCGCTAACGATACGAGGGACCATAAGCTCGCCATTCTTGGTGATAAACTCGAAGTCAGTACAGGAACTGAAAGAATTCCCGGTCGGCCACAGGGCATTCATAGCAGCCAAGATAGGGCCAGCTGGCCTCTCCAGATCCTCAGCGCTCAGTCCAAGGGTGGCAGCCTTGGCATCAGTTTCGGAACGCAAGCTACGCATGAGGCCAACGATCATCTGAGAGTCAGGAGTGTCGTTGCGGTAGACCCAAATAAGGTTCGTTGAGCTGAGAAGAATTTGCTGGACGTTGGCAAAGTCTGCCACAGTAAGGTCACGCAGGGTTTTGACAGCAGTCTGCAGGATGATGACATGCTGCCGTTTCTGCTTCGCGTCACAGTCAGTCAGTGACGAGAAGGACGTTGACCAGCGAATGGCTTTGGTGGAGATGACCTCTTGCACTTGCTCGGCTGCACGTGCACAGTCGCCAAAAGTGACAATAAGGATTTCGTCTTCGGACTTGTTGTCCTGGCAGTAATTTCCATGTCCGTGTCCATTAACGTGTTCAATGACGTGTGGCTTGCTATGGCCATTGGATTGCTTTGTCTGAATCGCTTCTCCAGTAGTCGCTTGTTCGACTTTAATCAAGGGCTTCCACTGCAGCTGATAGCATAGGTACCGGGCCACCTTGTTATCGCATCCAGTATCGTTGATTGGGGTCATTACCAATCCCTCCATATTGATCAAAACCTCACTAGAGTCTGCAGGAGTCACCCATAAGTCGAACTTAGTAGGCTCAGGTCTGCCCCGACCGGAACCCCCCATACACCTGGCCGGAAAGTGGTGACCAGTAGAAGGGATGTTTCCATCAATGACAAGAGACTTTATGACGGTTGGCACGTAAAGAGTCTCCAGGTCCATCCGACCCTTACCGAGAATGGGCCAGGTCAGGTGCAAAAGAGTGTCCAAAAGAGTGGGGTGGATGACAACCGGAGCTTCGTAGTGTTTCGGCATGAGCGACTTGGTATCGCAAACATACAGGTCCGCACGCGAGTGATGAGGCCCGGAGAAGCAGTTTCCAAATCCTTGAAACGCCATCCCATAGCCGGCGCCCACGTCGCTTAGAACTTTGTACATGTTCTCGGTATCAATTTCATATGTCGCCGCCTCCAACACCTCACTACTCTTCTTCGCAAAAGCGCTCTCTTCCAACTCGACAAAGTCAACGACCGGGTTATGCTTTCGGTTCGCCTTGTTGGGGCTAACTCTGACAAGACCCGTACAGTGGTCAATCCAGTATCGCTTGGAGTTCCAAGAGCAAATGCGGAATTCGTCCCACGCATTTGAAGCGCCTCGCGTGCCTTCAGCGTAAGGCCGGAGGGTAATGGTGATCTCGGTATCGAGGTCGTCAGTCAAGACGAGGGCAGCACCCACGCTCACTTCGCGCAGTTCGAACTGCGACTCGGCGGCCACCATACTGTATTTCTGTGCACGCGTCCGGGCGGCCTCGATTGCCATACTGATGTAACCAGCAATAGGATACACAATCATGCCCTGCATTTTATGATCGCGGAGCCATGGTATGTCGTCGAGGCGGACAATATTCCTCCATGTTGGCTCCAGGTCATTGGAGTAGAATGCTTCGGAGCCCAGTATGTCGTTTCTCTGTCCATCACGGAATCGATGTTTCTCGCTGATACGGCTATGGTGCCAGAAGACTGTGTCATGTTGCCACGGGTACCGAGGTAAATCATCGAGGACATTGCACGTTCCAGTGCCACTGAAGGGAAAGTTGATTTCGTTGATGTTAAGAGTTCCGCCGCGTACATAAATGGCACCCGCAGCGTTGAGGAGAGATTGGGAAGGTTCAACCTTGCGAACCACCGTCGGCACATACCCAACTTCAGAAGCAACTGATGACCCCAGGGCCTTCAATGTAT